GTTTAGGTCATCGTCATCATCGTAATTATCATCATTATCATCATTATCATCACTATTATCATGATTCTTGCTATGAATACTACTACAACTACTACTACTACTACTACTACTACTACTACTACCACTACTACTACTATTACTACTACTACTACTACTGCAACTACTACTACTACTACTACTCCCACCACCACTATTTCTAATAGCAGTAGTAGTAGTAGCAACGGTGGTGGTAGTAGTATTAATTTTAGGGGTCGGTGTAGCAGTAGCATTATGGTTGACCACTCTTGATGAAATTATGTTCAGAGTGTTCGACCTAAGTGATTAAGAGGGCAGGTATGAACCGTATTCTTGTTGACAAATGTAGAAATTTTATGAATGAGAATGAAGAATCGAAACCAATGTATATAAAAAAGATCTTAACCTTTTCTTCTACAACACACATACACACACACCTATTTCAGCACCCATAGTAACACGGAATAGGTAGACCATAGTTCATAAAATATGTAATATCACCCACTTATCTCAGGAGAACCCGTCCCATCTGCACGGACGCTCATACACTAGACACCCACATGGTTCCATCTCCTGTGGCCAAGACCCTTTCCATTGTCGTTACAGACCCTCCTATTATGTACTGATAGGGCATCGATCGTAAGTGGGTACAAGTGGGAGATATATTTCATTATATGGTTTTCAAAGAGTTTATAGACGATATAAGATAGGCTCGAAGGGGAACAACGGCTAAAGCGGCTAGATTATGGTACTAAAGTAAGAGAACACTGCTAACGTAAGGTAGGTTGGTATTAGTAGTAGTAGCAGAAGTAATGTTATGATAATAATATATGATAATAGTAACCATTATCATAATTATAATAGTAATCATTATTATCATTTTCATTGCTGTTGTGGTTGCTGTTGCTGCTGCTGCTGTTGTTGTTGTATCGTCATTATCATATATTGTTATAATTGTTATTATTATTGTTATATTTATTATTATTATTGTTATAATCATTATTATTGTTATAACAGTTATTAGTAGTAATATTTTTTGCTACTGTTGTTTTTGCTTTGTTGTTGTCGTTGCTTTTATTATTGTTTTTAGTAGTTGTAGAAGTAGTTATAGCACTATTATTGTTATATTATCATTATTATTATTAATATAATAACAATATTAAGGATTATTATTATTATTATTATAATTGTTATTATTATTATTATCATTATTATTTTTTATTATCATTCTTATTATTATTATTATTATTATTATTATCATTAGCATTAGTAGTAGCAGTATTGTTACTATTACTACTACTACTGTTATTACCTTTATCATTATTATTTTTTATTATCATTATCATCATTATTATTATCATTGTTATCATTATTATCATTATTATTATTGTTATTACCATTATTATTATCATTGTTATCATTATTCTCATTATTATTATTGTTATTACCATTATTATTATTATTATTTTTATTATTATCATTATTGTTATTATTGTTGTTATTATCATTATTATTACTGTTCTTATCATTAGCATTATCATTATTGATCATTATTATTACTGTTTTTATCATTAGCATTATCATTATTGATCATTATTATCATCAGTAGCATCAACATTAGTATCATCATCATTACTATTATCATTACTTTTAAAATTATTATCATTATCATTCATATGCTCCTTATTATTTCAATATCACTATCTTCATGATCCTATTATTAGTATCTTAATTATTGTTGTCATTATCACTATCTTCATTATCTTATCATTAATATCCTAATTATTATTGTCATAAGCAATATCATTATTATCAATATATAACTGTTATTATTATCATTATCATTCCACTATCATCGTCATCATCGTCATCCCATCACCATCATCATCATCTTTAATAACATAATCATCAGCTTCATCCCTATTATCATCATTTTCATCATTCCTATCATCACTATCTTTATTACCTTCATTATCCCTATTAGCTTACCTCTATTATTCAAACTATACCGTTGAAAGTACGAACGATAACTTCAATGACGTTAATGACGATTGCAATTATAGTGATGCTAATGATACTCAAATCACACAGGTTTAGGGGCTGAGGCGAGCGTGTTTCTCGACGGCAACAACTTGTCCGAAATACCTGAGATGATCTGGCGACCTTGGCTAGAGAAAGGAGTCAAGGTTTGGGTGATAGGTGAGTATCAGGTCATGGGTCGTGGATGTCGCATGTCTTCGTTAAAACAAGTGTGTGTGTGTGTGTGTGTGAGCGAGAGCGAGAGCGTGAAAGAGAGAGAGAGAGAGAGAGAGAGAGAGAGAGAGAGAGAGAGATACACACATCAGTACAAACATATGCATACATACACATACACACACACGCACACACACACACACACAAACATATGTATATGTATATATATATATATATATATATATATATATATATGTGTGTGTGTGTGTGTGTGTGTGTGTGTGTGTGTGTG